CCATGGGACCACCCAATCCTGGATGGGGACACTCACACCTGTTTGGGGACCCACCATGGGGACACCCAGATCTGAACAGGGACCTGCCATCCCATGGGACCACCCACCCCACATTGGAGCGGGCAGCTCCCACCTGCTCGGGCAGCCCCGAGCCCCATCCCCGTGCCCACCCCAGGCCAGGGCGTTGCCTCACCCGTGAGCTGCCTCATGCCGAGCTGGCGCAGCCCCGGCTCCCCGGCGGGGCCGGCGTTGCCCAGCACGGCCAGGGCGTAGCGGTCCTGGAAGAGCTGCGTGCCGCGGATGATGCGCAGGTTCTGCAGCTCCAGCCCGCTCACTCGGTTCTCCGCGATCAGCACGTAGCCCTGCACCTCCTTGATGTCCTGGGATGGAGGGGACATGGGTAAAGGGCTGGCGGGACCCCCGTCCTTCCCCAGCTCGGGGCGTTTTCCCGCTGCGCACCTTGAGGAAAGCGGTGTCGGCGCCGGTGGGCAAGTAGGTGAGCTCCAGGTTGCCCTGGACCACCTGGCAGCCCTGGTAGAGGTGCCGCAGGGTCTCGTAGTGGCTCTCGGGGCTGGAGGGACGCAGCAGCTTCATGTCGGTGCCGGTGCAGACTGCGGGGACGGAGAAGGCTCAGCGGGTCCCCGACCCCTCCTCTCCCCCTCGGGACACCGAGCTCCGGCCCCCGCAGGAAACGCGGCGGATCCGGCGGCCGCCGTTTATCTCCGGGGCTGCTCCCAACAGCTTCCGATGGGTTTCCTGCATCGTGGCTCCSCCGGCTCCCACCCCCGGGCACCGGGCCCGGCTCGAGGGACAGCGGGGAGCGGTGTCGTCCCGTGCCCGCGGTGGGCGCCGGGGACGGCGGGGGGCTGGGTGGGGACCCCCAGAGCCGCGGGGCCGGAGCGGGGGCCGCGGGCAGGAATGCGCTGCCCACGCCACCGGGGCGGCCGCGCCGAGACAAGACCCGATTGTTGAGCGGCGACGGCTGCGGCCCCATTGTGGGGGGCTGCCGGCCGGGAGAGCATCCCCGCGGCATCCAGGCGGGGCGGGGGGCGCGGGAGCCCGTCCTGGGTGCCAGGCCCCGGGCGGGTGAGTCACGGGCGCGGGTGGCACGGGGCCCCGGCCGCCCGCTCCCGGCTGGAACCGCCTTTTCAGGTCGGGCATGTTTGGGGAGCAGCGGTGACGCAGGGCTGGCGGGCACGGCCCAGCCCCGGCGCGCCCGCGGCCCCCGGCGCCCCGACAGCTCGGCGGGGAGAGAGAGCCCCCCACACCAAACCCCGACACCTCGGAGGGCAGAGCCCCCACGCCAGACCCCAAAACCTCGGCGGGGAGAGAGAGCCCCCACACCAAACCCCGACACCTCGGCGAGGAGAGTCCCCACGCCAGACCCCAAAACCTCAGAGGGGAGAGAGAGCCCCCCACGCCAGACCCCGACACCTCGGCCGGGAGAGCCCCCACGCCAAACCCCAGCCCGACCCTGCCACCACCTCAGTGTCGCTCCCAGAGCCACCAGCCCCGATCCGCCGCCACCCCAGCACGGGGCAGGGGGGCACACGGGGGTCAGGCAGGGTTTCGGTGCGCCGGTCCCCGGCTGCTCTGTGGCTGAGTGACAGTCCCCGGTGCTGGGCAGCTGCTGGCCCGGCCCCGTGTCCAGGGAACCCGGCTGGCACTCGCCTCCCCCGCCTGCCCCGAGGCCTCTGAGCGAGGGAAAATACAGCCAGGAAGGTGGAAGCCCCCCGAATTTGGGGTGCAGCTCTCTCCCAGCCCACTAGCTGTCCGGCAGAGGGGACCCCGGGAGTGAACGTGCCGCTGTGCTGGGCGAGCAAAGCTCAAGGTCTGTGCCCACACCTGCTGTGGCACAGGCACGGGGTGCTGTGGCTTCCCCGGGACAAAGGGCAGGTGGGACAAGTGAGCGGCAGGGCCGGATCCTGGTGGGGTCCCGGCTCTGTGCCCCGAGATTTGGCCCTGCCTGCTCCCCCTGGATGGGCACCGGGAAGGTCAGGGAGTGATCCACCCTGCCTGGCTTGCTCGGGCGGGCAGTGCCACCATGGAGCACCTCGGCTACCCACGGGTGTCCCCCACGTGCCCGCGGGGCTGCCCTGAGCCGGGGCTGCGGGACACGAATCACTGGGGCGCCCCAAACCGGGAGATCGCCCTGCACAGACCCCCCCCCAAGCAGAGTGAATCAGGAGTGGAGGCCACCCGGTGTGTCCCCACGTCCCTGTCCCACCACCCCACACCGGCTCAGCCCCGCCGGGTCTTCACTTTTCAAATTCCCGATGTTGGAGCTTCCCCGCAACGGGGAGGCAGCGGGGTCCAACTTTTGGGGCTGCAGGTGCCCATTTTGGGGCCAGCAGCCCCATCCGCTGCTGGCCCCGTTCCTGCCAGCGCCGCCGCGGTGCCCGGCCGAGGCCCGGGGGCTGTCGGGCCGGGCTCCCCGCTCCCCCCGGGGCTGGGCTGGGTGCGGCACGTCGAGAATGTGGATGGGAGCGACGGGGACGCACCCACCCACCCAGCCAGCCAGCCAGCCAGCCAGCCAGCCGCTCCGTGGGGCCACCGCGCCCCGAAGCTCCCCGGTGCCCCCGAAAAGGGAACCCCCATAAAATGGGGTCCCTTCGCCCCCGCTTCTCCCGGTAGTACCGGAGCCCTGGGACCGGCTGCAGTGGGGGGTCCCCCCTCCGGGCTGCACCGGAGCCCCTAAATTCCTCCCGGGACAGCGGCACCGGGGTCGTCCCGCTCGGGGGTGCCGGGGTGCAGCGGGCAGGGCCTCCCGCTCGGCCCCAGCGCCTCCCAGTACGGACCAGTTCGGCCCCAGTCCCGGCGGGCAGTCGTGGCGCGGTGACACCGGGGTCGCGCTGCCCGCGGCCGGAAGAACCGGGGGCACCGAGGGGGCACCGGGGGGACTGGGGAAGGACCAGGGGAGGCGGTGCCGTCACTTCCAACCGAGCAGCCCCCG